CAGAGTGAAGGTGTGGCTCTGGGATCAAGCCTTCAGAGAAGAACCATAGTGGAATAGATTAATTGGAATTATGTGCAATGACTATCGGAATGGATTATGATTGTGGATTGCATTGTTTTTTAATGACAGTAATGCTTTAAAATATTTTAATTTATTTAATTTTGATTTTTTAATTTAAATTTAAATGTATTTTAATTGTATACTGTGGTTAAGGCATTGAATTATTGCCTATCTCTAAGCTGCCTTGAGTCCCTTTCAGGGTAGAAAAGGCAGGACATAAATATTGTAAATAAATAAATAAATACAGCAGTTTTTTGACTTTCCACCAACTAGTTACTAATACACCCAACAGTAGCATTCCTAGCACACATTTTATCAGTCTGTCTCCAAGAATATCATGGGGTGCTTCACTAAATGTTTTAATTAAATCATATTATACAACATCCACAGCATTCCTCTGAAGGTCTCAGACTTCAGTTTCTGGATTATGTGATTTTAATGTTTCTATTAATATCTTTTAATTCCATGTTTAATTGTCTACATGTTATTGTTTCTCTATTTAATATGGTTTAATATTTTTATTTATAGTTACATGTTACACTTTCTTTTATACTAGGTTTTATATATGTTTGTCAGACATCAAATCTTTGCTGTGAATATGTTGGAACCGCTTTGAGCCCCCCTCCCTCTCGGGGGAGAAAAGCAGTATATAAATGAAGCCAATAAATAAACAAACAAATAAATTTGCCAAGCCCATGCTGGTTAGAAGTCCTGGCAAGAAGCCTAAGGATGAAATATTAGCTGCTATTGCTTTTTCCCATCTGGACTGGAAGTCATCTGACATAGTAAGAGATGCAAAGCTAAGGGGAGAGAGGGTTAGTCTAAACCAATAGTTCAGCATAACTACCCATACCTTAGCCTCGATTCTCAGGAAGCCAGTTTCCAGACATAGGGTGGCATTGGAAACACACCTTGGGACCTGGAGGACTATTCTTAGGAATCTGGATTGTACATTCTCCAATGGGGTAAAGTCAGAAAAGGGGCCTAACTGGACACTGTATAAAAGTTGTGCAGCTGACTTGGCATCAAATAGTTTGAGTACTGCGGGCATGTAGTGTCTCCCTCTTGACCTGAGATATTTTACTATAGCAGTTTAACATATCCACTGATGGGAGTTGAACTGAAAGTAAGTGACTATAGGATCTAGGGGTCACGGGTGATATAACACAGCTTCTCTCTAGGTGTTCAGGATAGCTTATATTCAGGTACATATGCACAGGATAAATGGCATAATACAGCCTTTGTTACTCCAGGGAGGACTTAACTACAATTGTTCTCTTAATAATTTGCTGTGCTTGATCACTTTAGTGTTACACTAATTTCCTGAGGGGGCTCAACTAAATAAGTACCTAGGAGGCCCAGTTTTGCATAATAATTTCTGGGTAGGCTCACCTCCATATCCTAATCTAAAGGAGCTCAAGTCCCCCTGCCTCCCTGTTCTGGGGACCATGTGAGGAAGGATTTGCACCCTAGTCTAAGTCCAGTACTTTGTATTATTTCAACCTCAAAGGGAATCGACTTATATTTTACTTATTTATTACATTGCAACCTTTTTATTTAGTATGTGAATGGCTTATGGTCTAAACATTAATAAATTGCTGAAAAGGGAACTACAAGGAAAGGCTGGTAAAATATGAATAATCTTGCTTTCCATTACTGTCAGCTCCTCAAACACTACTTTATTTAAGTGTACTAAAATATGAGCGTTGTGAAAAACTGAAATCATTGTATTTGCTGGCAATGACTTCTGAATTCTTTGAAAGATACTATATTGCAAGGACTCAGGGTGCTAAAGACAAAATAAAAATATAGCCATGACCATGTTGCTTCTGGCACTGTACAATGTAAGCAGTTTATTCCCAGAACATGTTAAAGGTTCAGCTTCTGTTATTGTAGAACAGATCCTGTAAGTTAATATCAGGTGGTGAGTGTCACATACTATTGCTTAACATCTCTGTGTATTCAGAGGCACTGTAGGCTATTTGTAGTGGAATGGAAGCACATTATAAGTCTATAAAAGCAATATAAAGTCTGAAAACTGGATATACAGTAGAAGAACTAGCTCCCAACAGCAATTTTCTGGACAAAAAATGCTGCTTAAAGTTCATTCACCTATCAGATAGGATTTACAGTTTTATATTAAATCAAATCCAGCTGCCTGCATCTGGTAGTAATGAATACCTGCAGCACAAGAGGAAAATATAAGGGGAATGGGGGAATCTCCTCAGGCCAAAACAGATCAACTTAACGTTCACTATGATGTGTATGAGAACACAGACCTTTTGCTGAGATTTATAATAATCATTATTTCAGACATAATCATTTTAAAATTGAACTTTCATTGATTGCCTTACCATATAGACACATTGTACACACAAGTCTCCTCCTTCCTTGAATTTTTATGTTAACAATGTATCTTCAACTGCCATTTATGGATTTTCTTTTTTTCATTTTGTCCTGCTGTTATCACGTCTAGACACTTACACTATTCCAGTTTTGGACCTCTATAGTACATGGGGAAGAAAATGTATTTACTGGGCCCAACCCGGGGGGGGGGGGGATTAGCACAGTGATGCAGCTAAAGATTTTATATACTGCTTGCTCTCCATCCTTATTCTTGGGTTTTTAAATTCCCTTAGCAGGCACCAGTTCTGGCTTGTTATTGCAAGAGCGTTGCCTATGCCATGTCTGAAAAGTATACTCAATCACAGTTCTTGACGACCCTCTTCCAGTTCCCCAGATGTATGCCATCCTGTGTCTTCCTGTTAGAATCTGGAGCAATCTCTCTGTCAACAAGAGCTTGGTGGTGGGCCCTAAAATATGGATTAAGGTCAGTGTATTCAGACTGGGCTCAGGTCTGATTTACCATCTAGTCCAGGATAATTACACTAGCAACTGGTTCAAGCTAAACTCTTAAAAAGTCCTCTTCTATTGGTTATTCAAATTGGAGGTAAGGACTTTGGTTTACTGAAGGGGAAAGCTCTGATAATTCAGGCAGTGCATTATCTCCACTGGATACAGGATGGATTGCCTGGGGTAACCCTATTTTGGTCTGCCATCTTGTTCTGCCAGTCCTAGCAGAGTGATGGAGATTCATGATGCATTGATAGGTTCCAGAAATGGGTAAACAGGGAAGATAAGAAAACTTTAGCTGAAGAGTTGGGGGACTGTTTAACGCCCCCCCCCCCAATTTTTTTTTCAGTGGTTGAAGGTCTATAGAGCTGATGGCATTCATCTCTCAAATATATATTCCTGGGGGATTTTCAACAGGACCTTTTTCACAGCCAGGTAGGAGGAAATGGGCAAAGCAGATCCTCGACCCTTGTCCATTGCAGTTAGTGGAGAGAGAAAAATAAGGTTTTTGTGAATACCTTTAACACTTATTTAGTGAAGGGATAGGCTCTGGAACTGTCTCTTTACATCACTAGACCTGGGGGATGGAAAAGGACATTACTTTTAGAGTTGACCCGGTGACTACATTCTCACTTTAAATCTTGGGACTTAGGATACAGATTCTTCAGATTTATCTTCCATCAGTAGACCAGTTGGGGGGGGGGAGGCAACCCAGATATTGGCAACTCAGATGTTTACCCAAGGGAAACTGAGGAAATCTGGAAGAGACCAATCTACCTTCATGAGTTTGCTCCCCCTTTTGTGCCTCATAAGGTTTAATACAATTAATTACATTTAAGAAAAATAAATAGCAAATAGCAAGACATAAAGCAAATTTTGTCTATAGTGTTCTAGTTCTTAAAGCAATTAAGATTTACATGCTAAGTGTTCTAATTCTTAAGGGCAAGCACTATAATAGGGTTATATTATAGAAACACACGTCAATGGCCTTTATTCAACACAATCCTTTGATCTGGTCCCTTTGTACCTATGGTGGATCAGCAAATGACTTCCATCTCTTTTTTCAGCATTATTTGCAACATTTTAAAATGTTGCTTTCCTAACATTAAAATTGTACCAAGGGGAAGTCAGAACTGGACTATTCAAAAGTTTTGGTTATTAGAAGTGACAGCTAAAAGAGTTAGTGGCAGCTAGTCCCCCCTTCCATGTCTTTGGTTATTTGCTAGTCTGAGCTCATCATAGGTTCCCTTAAGGAGCCCCCGGTGGCGCAGTGGGTTAAACTCCTGTGCCGGCAGGACAGAAGACCGACAGGTCGCAGGTTCAATGAGCTCCCTCTATCAGCTCCAGCTCCTCATGCGGGGACATGAGAGAAGCCTCCAACAAGGATGATAAAAACATCAAATCATCTGGGCGTCTCCTGGGCAATGTCCTTGCAGACGGCCAATTCTCTCACACCAGAAGTGACTTGCAGTTTCTCAAGTCGCTCCTGACACGACAAAAAAAAAGGAGAATGATTTTTTGAAAAACACATAACCTATTATCTATAATTTGATTATTTCACAGGCTAAAGAGGATTTTTGCTGTGAAGTGGCAGAGTTGGTGTTGCATCAGTTTCAATACAGAATCACATCAAGAGCCCCTCTGGCATAACAGTGCTAGGCAGGAATAAGCAAGTCAGGTGGTTCAACTTTACTCATATTTTAGAGTGTTGCAAGACTTGTACATGGTAAGGAGGCTAACATTTTCCTGGCCCACTGAAGGAATACAAAGGTTATCCTTAGCATGTCCCAGGGACATGCCCAGGTCATGCTCCTTGCTTCATCAGAAGTCTATGGAGATGCCAGATGGGTGCCTAGAATGACCACCATCCCTGCATTTGTAGTTCTGAAAGAGATGCCAACATTTGTTGAATCTGATATTTTTTATGCTAAAAGTAAAAAAAAAATCCAACTTCTTGGCTAGAAGAATGATAGTACTGGAAGAGCAAGCTGGCAGTATGTTTAGACTTAGTTTCTCAAAATCTAACTACTCCTTTCTCCCTAAACATAGTAATTGTCATTTATATTCACCATTCAATATTGGCTTACCTGTTTAAGTGCCTTTTTGGTGTGCTGTTGGAAGGAAGACACTAGCTTGCTTTGCATTGGTGTGTTTGTAAGGCTTGAGTCCTGGATGGAAGACACTTCTTCGGGTGCTTGCTTAGGGCAAACTAAGAATATAGATATGAAGAGAAAATATTGAGAATATAGGAAATCATACTGAAGAATGTAATACAATTTCACAACTGAAATCTTAAATTGTTATAAAACTGGCATAAGCAAGAGGGTGCCACCAGAAGCCACTCCAAGAACCACAGACATACTTTCTCAGGGAAACAACAATAATTGTCCTAAAACAGCCCGATCTTTTATTGCTTCTGGTAGAATGAAAGCATCTGTATAGTCAATGAGAATGAGACCAAAGAAAGCTTAATTTTGTAAGATGTAAATTTCCAACTGTATGTTGCCAACAATTAACCTCTGCGAAATGTCTTTCACTATCATTTCAAAATATACTATTTTTCACTACAATAAAGTTCAGCAATATGTGCAATAAGAAGAAAAACGACCAGTCTAAGGTTGACCATTAGCTTTAAATATAGAAGAACATAATAGAAATAGAATTTAACATCCTGAGGAGATTCTTTACCTAATAATTTAGTGGTAAAGTTCAGGCAACAAGAAAAAATAGATAGCAACACATAAAGCAAATTTTGTCTATAGCCAGGCCTGTAGCCAGGATTTTGATTCGGGGGGGGGGGGTTGTTTCGGGGGGGGGGGGGGGCTGAGTCTGAGTGAAAGAGGGTCTACCCTAGCAAACCTTTTGTATCGTTACCCCAATACCCCCATGCATATGGGATATATTGAGCATGGTGATCGGATCATGATATGAATAAACATAACAGTTTAAATAATGTACCAGTAAGGCCTTCTCGGACCACCATGAGAATTTGGGGGGGGGGGCTGAAGCCCCTCAAGCCCCCCCCCCTTGGCTACATGCATGTCTATAGCGTTCTAGTTCTTAAATCAAAGAAGATTTACATGTTAGATGTTCTAATTCTTATGCGCAAGCACTAAAATAGTCTCAGAAACACATATCAATGTAACTAGAAATTGAATTATAAATCAACAAGAGCTACACAGCACACTGAATTATTACATGTACCTCATGTACTCTATTTTATGAAAGTTTGAACTCATTCAATGTAAGGTCAGCTCAGTGGTCTATCTATTCTAATACATATAGAGTCTATCCAGGGTCATGGGATCACTTGTTACTTGGAGTGCTTTTTTATTGGAATTGACAGGGATTAGGTCTGCAGCTTTCTATGTGCAAAATGTGTGCCCTGCTGCTCATGATTAGTCACTCTTCTAAAATCACCTTAGGAATATTATTAAAACATTGAAAACACACAGACCTTCCCAACCCTTCCCCCAACAATTATCTTAGGGACATGACAAAACTTCAACTAGAGGTGCACTACATTTCCAGTTGTTAAAGTTGGTATACCTCATGTTGTGAATTTTCTCTAGGAGTAGAAACAGGGTGAATTTTACTGCTCTGCTCTTCCCTAGCAGGAAGAGGGGAAGGAAAGAAGAATTGGCCTCCCTTTTCTTGGCTTAAGAATGATGCAAGATGAACATCATCATATTGGACAATTAATCCCCATGTTCTAAAACAATGTGCATTTTTGCAAAAACAAAAACAAACAACAAACTACAAAACAGAGACATTTAACAGTAAAACTCTTTCTTTCTCTCTCTCTTGCTCTCACAACTGTCTCCAAGGACACTAGGGAAACAACCTGTCATTTTAGAGGTTTTTAGCTTGAGGAATTGGTCAATGTGTGGGGTTTGTGAAGGTCTTACCGAGGCCAGAAACTGCCTGACATCCCTCAGAAGTTGCCCGCCTCAGGGCACATTCAGGCAGCCCTTTAACCCAGGAACATTTGCGTTGTAAGCATGCAAATGTTCCTGGGTCCTCATCCACACATGCCCCAGAAAGAGTGTGCTTTCTGGGGTGAGTGTCCAGATGTGCTCCTGTAACTTTCTGGGAGAACACCCAGAAATTTTAGCCCACTACCCTAACTCCCTTTCAAAAATAAAAAAACTTACCTGGCCTCAATTAAAATGGTACTGGAGCTCTCCTGGCATGTAGGAATGATGCACCAGGAGAAAGGGAAGGAGGAGGAAAATTGCTCCTGTTCCCTCTTTCTCTTGGCGTGTCATTCCTATGTGCCAGGAGAGGTCCAGAACCATGCTAATTGAGGCTGGATAAGTTCTTTTAATTTTTAAAAGGGGTTTGGGGAGGGGGTTGGTGTCCTCGCAGTTTTCTGGGCTAATTTAGCTCACAAAACTGTGGTACTGGTGTACCGCCCACCCCGCGACCCAGCGGTTTCCCTGCCTAAGCTAGCAGAGGTGGTCTCCAATTCGGCCCTGGCCTCCCAGCGCTTGGTTGTGCTGGGAGACTTTAACATTCATGCCGAGACCTCCTTGACTGGTGCAGCTCAGGACTTCATGGCCACCATGACGACCATGGGGCTGTCACAAAATATATCTGGACCCACCCATCATGCTGAACACACACTCGACCTAGTTTTTGTGGCGGACAGTGGAATGATCAGAGTGGAAGAACAAAACATCCTTCCTGTGTCATGGTCTGATCATTATCTGATCAGTTTTAGACTCTCTGCGACCCTTAACCTCCGCAGGCGTGGAAAACAAATTAAGATGGTCCGCCCTAGGAGACTGATGGATCCGGAGGGATTCCTGAGGAATCTGGGGGTTCTTCCTGCCATGGAACCTGGCAATTTTGTTGACACCTTGGTTGATCTCTATAACAGGGAGATGACTAGGGCGATAGATACGATCGCTCCCGAACGCCCCATCACGTTGCGTGATGATATGCCATCTCCCTGGTTCACCGAGGAGTTGGCTGTGATGAAGCATATGAGAAGGGGGCTTGAGCACATTTCGAGGAGGTCTTGGGACGTGTCTGACCAAGCACGGGCTACTGCCTCTCTTAGGGTGTACACCGTGGCTATACGGGTAGCTAGGGAGTCTTTCACGACTACCCGTATAGTGTCTGCAGCAAATAGATCAGCCGAGTTGTTTTGGGTCATTGGAGAACTCCTTCAGCCACATGTGGTGGAGGAGGCTTTCGATGACCCAGTAACTCGGTGTTGCGAGTTCGCACACCATTTTGCAGGCAAAGTTGCTCAGATACGCCTTGAGCTGGACTCCAATTTCATCACAGTGCCAGAGAGGTGATTGAGGCATCTGCTTGTCCAATTTTGTGGGATTCTTTTAGGCTTGTTCTTCCTGAGACCGTGGAGAGGTCCTTGGGGCTGTGAGGGCGACCACGTCGGCTCTAGACCCTTGCCCGTCTTGGCTAATTAAATCGGCCAGGGAGGGGTTGGTTGATTGGTTTGTGTTGATCATTAATGCATCGTTGGAGCAGGGGTTTTTTCCATCTCGACTGAAACAAGCTGTGGTTCATCCACTTCTTAAAAAGGTCTCCCTTGACTCCACTGTGCTGAACAACTTCAGACCAATCTCCAACCTCCCTTTCTTGGGTAAGGTGCTGGAGCGGGTGGTTGCCTCCCAGCTCCAGGGCTTTCTAGATGACATCAGCTACCTAGATCAGTCACAGTCTGGTTTCAGGCCTGGTCACGGCACTGAGACAGCCTTGGTCGCCTTGGTGGATGACCTCCATAGAGAGCTGGACAGGGGGAGTGTGACTCTGTTGGTTCTCTTGGACATCTCAGCGGCTTTCGATACCATCGATCATGGTATCCTTCTGGGTCGACTCTCTGGGATGGGTCTCGGGGGCACGGTTCTGTCGTGGCTCCGATCCTTCCTGGAGGGTCGATCCCAGATGGTGAAGCTGGGAGACGCCTGCTCAGACCCCTGGCCTTTGACCTGTGGGGTCCCGCAAGGCTCTATTCTGTCTCCCATGCTTTTTAACATCTACATGAAACCGCTGGGAGAGGTCATCCGGAGTTTTGGAGTTAGGTGCCACCTCTACGCAGATGACACACAACTCTACTACTCTTTTCCAACTAACTCCAAGGAGGCCTCTCGGGTGCTGGTCGAGTGCCTGGCCGCTGTGTCTATCTGGGTGAGGAGGAACAAGCTGAAGATCAATCCCGACAAGACAGAGGTCCTCCTGGTTGATCGCAAACCGGACCGGGGTATAGGGTGGCAACCTGTGTTGGACGGGGTTACACTCCCACTGAAGCCACAGTTCCGCAGTTTGGGATTCCTCTTGGATTCATCGCTTACGCTTGAGGCTCAGACGTCGGCGGTGTCTGGGAGGGCTTTTGCACAACTGAGACTTGTGCGCCAACTGCGACCGTACCTCGCAAAGGCTGATCTGGCCGGGGTGGTCCATGCCTTGGTCACCTCTAGATTGGACTACTGTAATGCGCTCTATGGGGCTGCCCTTGAAAACGGCTCGGAAATTTCAACTGGTCCAACGGGCGGCGGCCAGGATGTTAACTGGTGCTCCTTACAGAGAGGTCAAGCCTCCTGTTCAAGGAGCTCCATTGGCTGCTGTTTATTCTCCGAGCCCAATTTTAGGTGCAGGTGCTTACCTACAAAGCCTTAAATGGTTTGGGACCATCCTACCTGCGTGACCACATCTCCGTTTACGAACCCACGTGCTCACTTCGTTCCTCTGGAGAGGCCCTGCTCGTGATTCCACCTGCGTCGCAGGCACGTCTGGTGGGGACGCGAGACAGGGCCTTTTCTGTGGAGGCCCCCCAACTCTGGAACACCCTCCCCAAAGATCTTAGACAGGCCCCTACATTGGAAGTCTTTAGGAAGAACTTGAAGACCTGGCTGTTCCGATGTGCCTTTCCAGAATAGGAAAACTCCAACACCAAGTCCCAGAAGCACTTTAGTAGAAATTAAGATTGCCGGCACACTGCACTTACCCTATAATCCTACATATCACCTGTCACTTCAGCACTTTTAATCTGTACCCACTTCTCTGGCCCGGCCCAGTTTTATTGTGTCTTGGTGTATTGTTTATTGCTCGTTGGTTTTAATATTGCTTCACTGTTTTTTATTTGCTTTAGGTTGTGTTTTGTTATATTGTGTTTGAGGCCTTGGCTTTTGCAAGCCACATCGAGTCCTTCGGGAGATGCTAGTGGGGTACAAATAAAGT